GGAAAAATATTTTTAATTTTATCATAAATCGATAAAAAAATGAAGATTGAAAAAACGTTTATACATTAAATTTTTATTTCAACAAACAAAGTAAATAAATTATTAGTTGTCTGTTATCAAATAAATATTTACTGGAGTCAAATAATTTTTATTGAAATCAAATAAATTGGATAATAACTTTAATATTTTAAGCAAATACTATTTAATTCGCAGTTTTTTTTTTGAAAGTATCAAATTGATATACCAAAGTAGATCAAATTGATGACAAAAATTTAAATCAATTTATAATTTGATCCACAGTTTTGGTATCAATTCGTTACAGTTGGACACTGTCAAGTGTTGAATTAAATAGAAATTAAAAAATTTCAATAAAAATTGTGAAAACTTGAAAAATTTGATAAAAATAATTCATTTTATAAATTCTTGGTTTTAAATAGTTTAATTAATTATTTATTTATTTTTTGATAATAATTCTAATATAAATTATTTTCCTTTTGTTTCAGGTGAGTAAACAACATGTGTTTTTTGTCGACTTTCTTTCGTAAGTAAATATAATATTTAACTGTATAAAATTATAAATTATAGGTAAAATATAATTATTAAACGAATAATTAAAATTCCAATCGAAAAATTGTTCTGCAATATTTTTGTGGAATTGATAAATAATTAATTAAATTGAAAGAAAATAGCGGAAAATTGAACCTCAATTTCTTGAGAAATATAATTATTTAATTATTTAAAAATTACAGAAGAATAACTTTAGAAAAATTGAGTTTTTAAAATTTTTCACGAATTTGAAAATTTATTTCTAAAAGTGTTAAATTTTAATTTGAATTAAAAATACAAGAAATAGATTAAAATAATAAAAAATAAAAGTATTAAATTATTCTTATTTTTATTGTCTATTATTTTTATGAAAATGGAATGAATAAAATTAAAATTTCAGAGAATGTGAATTTAATTTTTAATATGAATTTAAGTTTTTCTTTCATTGTACAGAAGATATGAACTAATTTATTGAGATTGGAAATAATGATATAGTTTTTATTATAAATTGAAGAAAGAATGTTATTGAAAATTAAAATTAAATAATAAACTTTTAATTTTACCTGGCGTTGCAAGGTTTCTTCGTAATTTTTGACAAATTTTCGGATTTAGATAAAATCTTTAATATATTTTTAGGACAAATTTAAAAATACTCATTTTTTAAAATTAAAACTTCATTTTAAAACTGGAAATTCTTTTTTTTTTCTTAAAATTAAGTACATGAAAAAAGAAAAAATCACGGTGATTCCTGAAATATAATTAAGATTAATTTGATTAAAATAATGGATTACTTATTATCAATTAAATATTTACTTGAATCAAATAATTTTTATTTAAATCAATTAAATGTTTATATTAATATTTTCGTCAAATACTAAAATTATTGATTTAAAATTTCAAATACAATTTAAATTGACCTAAATAACAATTATTTGACTCAAGAAAATATTTACTTGATAATAATAGATAACTAATCGGTTATTTGAATCAAATAATTTTATTCAGTGTAAATACTTATTTAACAATAAGCAAGTAATTGTTTAAAATTTTAATTTTTAAAATTTTATTTTACACTGTAAGTAGTTTAAAAATAGAATTAAGAAAATTATAAATATTTGGTATTTAAATATATGTTTAAATAAGTTTTTAAATATTAAACGAAAAAGTTTTCGAATTGAACAAACCAGTCTGACCATTCGTTGGTCTGCACTACTCAATCACTGAGCTGAATTCTCTCTGGCATGTAGAAAACTTTCAGTAAAGGAAACCACGGCAAGCCTATTAAATTGCAACTGAGGTTTGAATCGTATTAATTTCCTCTACTGTGTGTAGTCCTGTAGTCTATTTCTCACTTTTTTTTACTTCAGTTTTTTTCCCCGAATAAAATGAATACTTTTTTTTATATATACTTTTTTTCTTGACATGTTATATACACATTTTACGAACATCGATCAGATATCTAATAAAAGTCTTTTATGTGTTTCATAAAAATCTAGAATCTTTTTATGTACGTTCCTAAAATCGAAGCTACTTAATAATGTATAAATTTCGGTAATATAAAAATACGAACCTTAATTATCTTAACCATTATTTATTACTATTATCTAAATTGAAGTTGAACGACTATAAAAAAATTGAAATTTTCACAGATTTTTTTTTATCTTTTCTAGCTATGAGAAAAGAATTTTAAAACATTTTTTGCTCTTTTGTATCCAAACTACAGTTATATCTTTTTTGATATATACTGCGACTTTTTTTCTACCGTCGAATCTTTGAAGTTTATTTTATTTTTAACTTTTATAAAAAAAATAATAATACACTGATAGAAAATTTATTCGAATCCAATAACGGATTTACGTGTCTAGTGTCAATTAAATATTTACATTTAATTAAATAATTCAGAATTTGTATTTTCATCAATTAATTGGTATTTGAATTAATAATTTCAGTATTTGAAGCAAATACGATTTACTTAATTCGAATAAAAAATTATCTAATTCAAGTAAACATTCATTTCATTAGAATAAAAATTATTTGATTCAAAGTAAATATATTTATTTTATTCGAATAAAAGTTATTTGATTCAAGTAAACATTCATTTCATTCGAATAAAAATTATTTGATTCAAGTAAACATTCATTTCATTCGAATAAAAATTATTTGATTCAAGTAAATATTTATTTTATTCGAATAAAAGTTATTTGATTCAAGTAAACATTCATTTCATTCGAATAAAAATTATTTGATTCAAGTAAACATTCATTTCATTCGAATAAAAATTATTTGATTCAAGTAAATATTTATTTTATTCGAATAAAAGTTATTTGATTCAAGTAAACATTTATTTTGTTCGAATAAAAATTATTTGATTCCAAAGAATATTTATTTCGTTTGAATAAAAATTATTTGATTGAAGTAAACATTTATTTCACTTGATTAAAATTTATTTTATTCCAGGAAATGTTTATTTCATTTAAATAAAAATTATTTGATTCGTGCAAATATTTATTTAATCTAAATAAAAATTATTTGATTTTAAGAAATATTTGTTTGATTTGAATAAAAATTATTTGATTCCAAGAAATATTTATTTAATCTAAACAACAATTATTTGATTCAAGTAATTATTTAATTGATTTTGATAATAGTCGAATAATCAATTATTTTAATCAAATTTTTTTCCAGTTTTAAAATAATAATAAATTTTGAAAAAATATGTGAAAATACACGAAGAAAAAAGTTTAATTTGAACCAAATTCTGTTGTAAGTTAAGTAAAAATGCATTTGTCTCAAATAAGCCTACTAAATTATTTAATTTTTTTAAGTAAAAATTTTATTCGTGACAAATAAAATTTTTATTTGAACTTAAATAAAATTTGAACTACATCCAAATGTTTATTTTGAAACAAATAAAAATTTTATTTGGCTCTGAGAAAAATGTACCTTTTTTTCTAGGTGTATAAAAAACGTCTTAAAGAATGGAGTATTTTAAAATATCTCAGACACCTTTTTCTGCATATTTTATGAACTACTTGGTTAAAATTAATTAAATTAACGATCAAAATATTAATAATTAAAAACCTTCTCCTCGATATTATGAAAATGTTCCACAAATTATTATTTATTCATATTCTGTCCTCATAATTTTTAATCTTTTTATCTGACAATGTGAAAAGTGGTCGATAATTTCATGTATATGCGAATGAGCTTTTTTCTTCACGAGTTGGATTAAAATTGTTTGTCATATACCACATTTTTATGTAATTTATATAATGCTTTTACAATTTATATGATTGTATGATACCATATATCAAAATATAGAGGTCAATTGTTTCTTAACGAGCATTTGAAAGCAACAATTAATTTTATTAATTATTTTCTTTATTTAATTATTTATTTATATCATGAAAATTCACCCTCTTTCTCCTTTTTTTCTTGTAAAAACAAATAAAAAATGTAGGTATTTTAGTCTTTGAAACTTTAAATAATTATTTAAATTATTAATAATTATTTGAGTAAATAATTTCTCAGAGTTTTTAAACTTGAAAAATTTTTTCCACAAAGGAACCAAATATTATTGGTTCAAATATTAAAATTATTAGTCTTTAAATACAACAATTACTGGTTCAAATATTGAAATTGTTCGTTAAAATACTGAAATTATTGGTTCAAATATTAAAATTATTTGTTTAAATCCAAAAATTACTGGTTCAAATATTAAAATTATTCGTTAAAATTTAAAATACTGAAATTATTGATTCAAATAAAATTTATTTGATTTCAATGAAATTTGTTTAATTCAAGTAAATATTTATTTGATAATAGACAAGTAATCGGCTGTTGGAATCAAACAAAATTTTTTCTTCAGTACAGTACTTAATAAATTATTAATCAAGAAAATTTGCAATTAATACATTTTTCCGAAAATTACACTACAATTTTCCTGTTTGTTTTTTGATCACTTTAATTAATACATAATCTAATTATGTTAACTCCATGAACTTACTAGTGATAATTTCGCTAAAAAAATATACGATAAGAAGATTGCTAGTGATATTTTATATTTGGATTTTTTAACAAAAATTATTTACAACTTTAAAATTTTTATCAAATAATTTTTATTTTCAAATTTTTTATATAATAATACATAATCTAATGTAAGTTAACCCCATGAACTTATTCGTGATAACTTCGCTAAAAAATTATACGATAAATTCATTATGTATACAAAAAAGATGTTTTATATTTCATTTTTATATCAATAATTATTTATACATTCAATTTGTTTATTACAAATTCAATATTCTGATTATCAGTTACAATATTCTGATGATATGAAATAATGATTTTATCACTCTGGCATCTTAAATTTGTTATAAAACATGAAGTTTTATAACTTATTTATTTATTTATTTATTTATATTATTGTTGTTTTTGGATAATTTTACAATTAAGGAAATTCGTAAATAAATGCAATACAACATATTTGGAAATTTTAATAATTTTTGGAGTGAATTAGAATATTCTTCAGGGTCAGGAAAAAAGGCAAAATCAGTCAGTAAAAAGTCTGGAAATCAGAGAACCACTGAGAATTTTTAGGGAAATTTTCTCTTTTCAATTTTCAACCAAAAGCCACCTTCCGGTAATAAAAGAAAACAATCTTTCTTAAATTTGATCGGTACAGATGTTTTGCAACATGATTGAAAATTTAAACTCACTAAAAGATAAAATAAAACAACTTTAATCTCCATTAGGGCGAAACGATTTCCAATACAAATTCGCGGTCCTATACCAAATGGAAAATAAGTTGCACTACTAGCATTGACTCTTTTCTCGTTCAAAAATCTCTCTGGAGTGAATTTTTCTGGATTTTCGAAATATTGAGAATCACGATGAATAGCAAACATGGGAAACGTAATCGACATCCCTGGACTCACAGTTATTGGTTCTTTTTCAGATGAAATTGGAGGAAGTTCGAATTTGCGGTTACATATCCTGTCAACAATTCCAATTGGATAAAGTCTCAAAACTTCATTAATTACCGCATCCATATAGGGCATGTTCATTATATCTTGATATGTTGGCTCATGTCCTGGGGAATTTTCAAAAACATTATCAATTTCTTGTTGTAATTTTTCCTGCACCCCGGGGTTTACTGTTATTTCATGAAGAGCAAACGATAAGGCCGATGAAACAGCATCTAAACCACCAACAAAGAAAAGTACAACATTTGCCGTAATCTCTTCAAGAGATAATTTTCGATTCTCATTTTTATTGTCCTGAAAGTCCATCATCCATTGAAGAAAATCCTGCCTCGTGATTCCCTCCTCTTTTCTAAATTTTATATTCGAACTTATTACATTAGTAAAAAATCGATTTACTCTTGAATTGAAGATCGTTATTTTGAATAGTTTCGATAATCTCTTGAAATTTCTGATGAGTAGAAATTTTAATGATAGAATACCATCGAAATTTGTCGCTTTCCGACCAATCATGTAGAGATTATTTTTTGGATCTCTCATTGAATCGATATTAATACCAAAGGCACAGGTTGAAATCACATCGGCACTGATTTTAGTAAAAATATCCTTGAGATTAATAATGTTCTGAGAATCATTAGTGGATATTTCAAGCAGAGCTTGCGTGAATTTTTCCGCACAATTTCTCATTAAATTAAACATCATTTTCATTTTACTCGACGTAAACGAGGGACTCAATATTGTCCTCATTTCCCTCCACTGATTATCCTTCAACGAGAATAATGATCTTCCAAAAATTGGATCTATACTTTCGTTCGTAAATCCACGATGATTGATGAATGATTCGAAATTTTTTATTCCAATTGATTTTATTATTTCTGGATCACGAATCACAATGACTGGTGTTTGAAAATCAAACATACCGAAATATTTTTCATTTGGAAATTTATTGTATAATTTTGTCACCAGTTCGATGTAATTTAATTTTCTTAATAGACAAGGAATTATGTTTCCGAAAAAAGGCAGTGGTTTCACGTATGGAATATCCAAGTGATCGAAAATATTCTTTTTTGGATTATAAAAATAGTTGTAGTACAAAAGCCCAAGAAGAAAAATTGTAAGAATTAATGTTAATAAATCCATTATGGAAAATGAATGGAAAACAAATTATAACTGCACTCACTTTTCACTTAACTAAATGAATTTTATTATCGGAATAAGCGTTTCAAGCGAATGTACAAATGTTTATATTCATTCTGACAAATATCTTATCTGCTGGTGCGCTTCTTTGAATTTATCTTCATATTGGCCTAATTAAAAAATCTACTAATTGAATTTAATTTAATTAATAAAATAATAATTTAAATAATAATTATATTACAGAAATGTGAAAAGAATATTCCGCTCTATTGAGATGATAATAATAATAATAAAATAAAAAAAATTGGTACCGTGAAGCTAGCGACCCGCCAGCCGCCAGACGCCTAACAAATCCATAGGCGTCGCAATTGAATAATACGAAATGATCAATTCTTCATTCTTTCCTTTTCGCGATAATTTCTTTCACTGTAGAGTTAAATACAAATATTTTACAAACATAATTTAACATAAAAATCAATTGTCTATTAACAAATAAATTTTTTAACAGCTCTTAGCTTCGCGAAACTCGAAAATTCGATTGTCTGCTAATTGTCGGATAGAGTATTTTGACAAGGAATTTTGACAAAATTATTTTACTAGAAAAATTCTTGTAAATAAACATCTAATGAACAATAGGCAACAAAAAATAAACAAAAAGAAGTCAAAATACTCCATCCGCCAATTAGCAGACAATCAAATTTTTGAGTTTTTCGAATTTAATAGCTTTAAAAATTCAATTGTTAATAAACAATTGATTTTTTTGTTGCCTATTGTTCATTAGATGTTTATTTACGAGAATATACTTTTGTAAAGTAATTTTGGCAAAATCCCTAGTCAAAATACTCCATCCGCCAATTAGCAGACAATCGAATTTTTGAGTGTTTCGAAGTTAATAGCTTTAAAAATTCAATTGTTAATAAACAATTTATTTTTTTGTTGCCTGTTGTTTATTAGATGTTTATTTACAAGAAATGTTTTTAGTAACATGATTTTGGCAAAATCCCTAGTCAAAATACTCCATCCGCCAATTAGCAGACAATTGAATTTTTCAGTTTTTCAAAAGTTACAGCTTTTAAAATTCAATTGTTAAAAAACAATTTATTTTTTTGTTGTCTAATGTTCATTAGATGTTTATTTACAAGAATTTACTTTTGTAAAGTAATTTTGGCAAAATTCCTAGTCAAAATACTTCATCCGCCAATTAGCAGACAATCGAATTTTTGAGTCTTTCGAAGTTAACAGCTTTATAAAATTCAATTGTTAATAAACAATTAATTTTTATGTTAAATTATGTTTGTAAAATATTTGTATTTAACTCTATAGTGAAATAAATTATTGCGAACAGGAAAGAATAAAGAATTGATCATTTCGTATTATTCAGTTGCGACTTCTTTGGATTTTTTAGGCGTCTGACGGATGGCGGGTCGCTAGCTTAACGGCACCATAAAAATTAACAATTAAACATTAAACATCGCTGGATTTCAATTATTTTTAATAAACATTTGTGTTGTTAGAATATGTCTACAATTTGTTTTTATGACAATTAAAAATTTTTCTCATTTCGTCCTCCATTTTTCAGCCGCCATTTTGAATTTCGATAAAGCGAACTAAATGTGTTAAAGAAGAAGGGAAAATTGTTACTTTTAGTTGACATTCTATACATTTTTGTTGAATTTTTTTTTTACATTTCTGTTTATGTTTAGAAAGTCGGAAAATTGATTTCTTTTGTTAAAAAAAAATATGTGAGAGAGAAAAAGAGCTATAGAATTGTTTCTGTTTTTCTACCCCAAGATCGAGGGTATCTGGCTCACGTGATAGAATGAGCCTTTTGTAAAGCTGACACCTACATGTCGGATACAACGATTGACAGTTGTTAGAAGCATCATTGATACAAGTTCTCCTTTAGCTCAGCCTCCCTTCTTCCCTTCTTCCCCTTTTACCCCAGCAGAGAGCCCTTTCAATGAAGCCACAACAGTAAACATCTTGACTGCTTTGACATGAAATATCGTGAAGCAGAAAAAAAATAATAAACAAACAAACAAACAAACCGTTTATATTGAAACCCATTTTATGCGGTAAAATTCTGTGCATAAAGAATAAAAATCAGCATTTAGAAAAATCTAATTACAAGTTTCGAACTAAATAATTAATTTCTTTAAAACATTTTAATACATTTTTTAAACATAAGTAGTAACATTTTTTGAAGGATATATTTGAAATTAAAGATTAAAAATAATTGAAATCCAGCGATGAATTTTATTGTTTATAAAAATAATTGAATTCTTGCAACGAAATTTATTAAATATTTTTCAAATAATTGAATTCCTGTGGAAAATTTTATTACTTGTAAAAATAATTGAATTCTCGAAAAACTTTTTTTCTTCATAAAGAACTTATAATTTAGATAGAAAAAATTTTTTTTTAAATCGTTGATTATAAACGTTGTGAAGTTCACCAAAGTTTTGATTTAAAAACTGAAATAAAAATTATTCGACTCAAGGAATTATTTATTTGTTAATAGACAAGTAATTGAGTTATTTGAATAAAACAATATTTTTTGTCAAGTGTAACGAATTAACAATTAATTATTTTATTTAATATATCATTACTATAGAATGTCCTTAAAATTCCATGTTATTTTAAACAAGTTTTAATGACTTTAGAAAGTTCAGAGGCTGAAACATCATATGAAATGAAACTACTGCTGATGAAGGAACATGTCTCTCCTTTAGTGAAGTCAAACTTAATGTAGCCGACAGGTTAGATGAAGGACAGTAAATGTGACGGTTCACAGTTGATTACAATGGTAGTGGTGATTGAACAAAATTAACAAAATTTCATAGTCCCCATTATTTTTCTGCATTGGGTAAATAAACAATAAAAATTGTTCTTGAATTAAAAAGAAAGATTAATAGTCTATGAGACAGATATACATTTACCTAATCCAAATATATTATATTTTCTTCAAATAAATTTGTTCTCCGGAAGTACTTTAAAAAAAACATTACAATCATTTATTTAAGTGTCTCGGTGTCTCTTTCTGGAGACATTCAGAAAATGCTTATTTTTTTAGTTTTATATTCTGAAAGAACATCATTTTTCTGGGAACTTCTTAAAAAGTAATATTTTAGAAAACGTTTTACTGTCTTCAAAAATATATTTCATTTCTTACTTCTTTATAATTTTTAAAAGTGAATATTTTTCAAAAAATTATAAGCTATTTTCAAATTATAAACAATTCTCAACTTATTAACAATTTTCAACATATTAAGAGGATACTTGGATTACATTTTTAACTATATCAAGAAAATGATTTAAATCTTCCATAAAATTATTTTCATAGTAATTTTTTGAGGGGAAATCAATGGTCAAAAACTATTTTGACCCTCTTTAAATTTTTTTAATTTAAATTTAATTAATTATTAAAAATAATGGATTTAAAGAAGAATTTTAGTTAAAAACATTTTAAAAAATTGAATTTTGAAGAAGTTACAAATGATTGCAGAAATTCAATTATTTTCAAAAGTAATAAAATTCTTATTTCAAAATTCAATTATGTTCAGAAATTACAAAAAAATCTCGACAACATCCCAATTTTTATCTTTATAAATAGCAAAATTCTTAGCCGAAATTTAATTATTTTCAAAAATTTTAATAAAATTCATTTGTCAAAATTTTAATTATTTTCAAAAATTTTCCTCATTTCAAAAATTTTCAATATCTACTATTTTAATAAAATTACCTAAAAGAATTCAATTATTTAAAAATTTTTTAATAAAATTCTTTATAACAATTCAATTTTAAGAAACATTCAATTATTCAATACTTAATTTACATTTTGTAATCGTTATCTTCATGTTTTATAATAATATTTTTAAAGTTGATTAATTTCAAAAAGGTTTGAATTTAAAAAGAAATTAGCGAATTAATAGAAATTTTGCGAAATTCAACTGAAAATAATAATAATTTTTATCACTTACTTTCAAAAAAGATACTTACTTAAATTTTTTTAATAAAATTGAATTTCTACAAAGTTTTTTTGAAAATTCTAATAAATAAAATTTTTGAAATTTTTCAATTCTATTGTTTCAAGATAATTGAATTTTTATAAACAAATAATTGAAAATTTTCGAAATAATTGAAATTTCTTTAAATTACATTTCTTTACATTATTTTCATAAAAGTAAAACTTATTGCAGAATTTTAATTATTTTTAATACAATTTTAATATCAAATTCATCGAAAAATGTAATTATTCTTAAAAATTTTATCAAAATTCAATTATTTCTTGAAACTGTAAAAAAATTCTTCTCAAGAATTCAATTATTTCCATAAATAGCAAAATTCTTCAGATTTTCTAAAAATTCTTTTGAATATTATTTTTAAAAAAAATTCTTCACAAGAATTCAATTATTTTCAAAAAATTTCCATAAAATTCCTCACAGAAATTCAATTATGTTTAAAAATTTTTTTTATTTTCTCCTCAAAATTTCAATTACTTTTATAAATAATTAAATAGTTTTCCACAATTCAATTACTATTTTCAAAAATTTAATAAAATTCTACGCAAACATTTAATTATTTTTATAAAAATAATAAAATTCTTTGCGGGAAGGATTCAATTACTTTTATAAATAGTAAAATTTTTTGCAGAAATTCAATTAGTATCAATAGATTTTAATAAAATTGTATTTATCAAATTTTTTATTATAATTATGAACAGACAAGATTATTTTAAAAAATTTGAAAAAATTCTTTGCGTTTAATTCAATTATTCTCCAAATTTTCAATTAAAATTATTAAAAAAAACATTATTTTCAAAAAAATTTAAAGAAATTCGTCAAAAGAATTTAATTATTCATAAAAACTCTAATAAAATTTTTTGAAGTCATTTGTAGATTTATTTATGTTCGAAATTAAATAAATTTAAATTTGATGAGAAAAAAACAGGTGGAAAATTAGGACAAAGCCAGAAAATAACCGGGAAATTTGTTGAACGAAAATAGTAGACACCCTGAACAAAATTTAATAATAATGGTATTTTTTAATCGTTTTCAAACTAAAAAGATTGCTTTTTTAATTTAAAAATGCTTCAAAAATTGTAAAAATCAATTTCTTCTTTCGTCAATTTTTTTGTAGATATTGTTCTCTAAAGTTATTGTGCTTATTCTTGAAATCTAATTTTTCTTTAATTCAATTTTCTTAATTTAATTTTAAAAGAGTTGCCTTTACAATTTTCGCAAAAATTCAATTATAGTCAAAAGTTTAAAAAATTTATCGTCAAAATTTCAATTATCTTTACATATATTAAAATTTTTCTCCAAAATTCAATTATTTTCAAAAATTTTAATGAAATTCTTTTTAACAAATTCAATTTTTTTTTAAATTCTCCTCCAGTCAATGATTTTCAATATCTACTATTTTAACAAAATTTTCCAAAAGAAATGAATTATTTAAAATTTTTTTTATAAATTTCTTCGCAATAATTCTATTATTTTCAAAAATATTCAATTTATGTTTACAGAGATTCAATTATTTTTATAAATATGTAATACAATTATTTAAAAATTTGTTAATAAAATTCTTTATGAGAATTCAATTTTAAGAAACATTGAATTATTCAATAAATTATTTATTTTTGTATTAAAAAAAATGAGGTATTTAAAAAGAAATATTATTAAATAATTCTTCTCAAGAATTCAATTATTTTCAAAAGTAATAAAATTCTAAGCAGAAATTCAATTATAGTCAAAAGTTTAATAAAAGTTATAGTCAAAATTTCAATTATTTTTATAAATATTAAAATTTTTCTCTAAAATTCAATTATTTTCAAAAATTTTAATAAAATTCTTGGCAATATTTCAATTATTTAGAAACATTTTAATAAAATTCTTGACAAAATTTTAATTATTTTCAAAAACTTTTCTCAATTCAATGAAAATTTTTTACAGTGATTCAATTATTTTTAATACATTTTTGATCTAATTTCTCGAAAAATGAAATTGTTCTTTAAAATTTTATTGAAATTCGTCAAAAGAATTTCAATTACCTATTTAAAAATTTGTTGATAAAATTCTTTAAATTAGAGTTGAATTTTAAAAAACATTCAATTCTTCAATAAATTATTTTTTTTGTATTTAAATAATTGAATTGTCGTAGAATTTCCTAATAATAATTGATTGAAATATGAATTTCAGTTAAAACTTTAGATAATAATTGAGTTTTGAAAAGGTTTCAAATTATAATCTTTGAATGTTTGAATTTTTTCAACTTTTAACTTACAATTGTGTAGATTTAATTTTTTTCTAAAAGTTGAATTGAATTTTCTTGAAGTTATTTCAAGTTTTTATTTTCTAATATATATTTTATTGAAGAATTTCCGAATAATCGATGAAATTTCGTAAAATTGAATTGTAAACAAAAGGATTTGAAAATGTTGAAAGAAATTTTTCAGAAATTATTAATAATAATTCATTTACACTTTATAAAGAAGAATTTTAGTTAAAAATTGTGGAAAACAATAATTGAATTAAAATAATGAAAGTAATTTTGAATAAGTTACAGTAACAATATTCTTATAATAGGTATAAAATGGTGATTTTATCAGTACAACATTTTTAATTATTATAAAACATGAAGATATCATGTTTTATATTTTCATTTCATGTTCTATAACAATTTTTTATAAGTTGATTAATTTCAAAAAGGTTAGAATTAAAAATTTTGTAAAATATAAATGTAGTTTTAAAAACTTGGAAAAATTTCGTTTTTTAACCTGGAAAACCTGGAAAAGTCAGGGAATTTGAAATGAGCAAAAGCGTGTCAACCTTGCATATTTTTTTAGAAAAATAAAAATTCAAAAAGTGTCTGAAAAAATTTATTTATTTATTTATTCAAAATGTTAACGAGTAAAACCCTTTCGTAAAAAGTACTAATAATAAAGATTGTACCTACTATAAATTATAATTACTATAAAAATAATTTTATCGAAGATTTAAATCATTTACTTGATATAGTTAAAAATGTAGTCGAAATCTCCTCTTAATTTTAAACTAATTAATAATTTTGAACTAATTATCAATTTTGAATTAATTATCAATTTTGAACTTTATTATCAATTTTGAACTTGTCAACAATTTTCAATTTATTACCAATTTTCACCTTATTAAAAATTTTCAACTTATAAAAAATTTTTGAAAATTATTAAAGAAAACAATTTGCCGATTAATCTAAAGTGCATGAAATGCGAATTGTGTCTCTTTCTCTCTCACTCGCTCTCTTAAAAAAGTGTGTGAGTTTCTCATTTTTGTATCTTGAATGTACTGATTGATGTGAGTGTGTGTGGGTATAAGGACCCTTGTGTAGCAACGGGGAAGAAAGTGCTTGGACCTGCGCCGTGCACTATCAATTGTGGTACAAGCGGGGGGGGGGTGTTTTACTGAAAGGGGTGGGTGCTTGCACCAGGGGTGTTAGTCACGGCCCATCTGCCCATCGTCCAACACGTAAGTTCGTTATTTTGACTATTCTTTATTCAATTTCACTTGTCAAACACTCGTGTGCCACATTTTCAAGTGCCTTCAGAAAAAAAAAATTCCCCAACATTTTTCGGAGTGAAATTAGTTGCATAGCAAAAAATTCAAAAAAAAATTTTCTATTTCTCCACCATCATTCGAAGAGCGCACAATGGATTTCTGTGATTCCATACCAAAAATGGCGGTTGCAGGGCAGAAATCGTAAATTCGATGTTTTTCTCCTAAACACATTATATTTCCATCAATTCAAAGCAAAACACAACCAAGTGATTCATAATTATTGAAAAGAAAAGAAAATTATACAATAAAAAAAAAATCTTTTTTTCTCTTTCAATTTTTCCATAATGAAAATAATAATAATAGAACAATTAAAGAAAAGTGAAAAATATTTTCTTTTTATTGTCTAAAAATTTTGAAACATGATTGAAATTTTTTTTTAGGAAAAATTTGCTATGTTTTTGGGGATATTATTTTCGTGTGTAAAATTTTTTTATTGTATTTTATTGAATATTTTTGTTTGATTGATTCTTTTGAAAAAAAAACCGATCGAGAATCGCGTGCGTTACGGAAGGTCAGTCTCTCTCTTCCTTTGAGAGCGAAAATATGTGGCACGTGCAACTCACGCTCAGTGATAAACAGAATGTAAATATATGTTAGGATAATATTTTTATATGTGCCAAGTATATAAAAGTAATAAAAAAAAAATTTACGAATAGAAATACGAAAATATTCACTATATAGATGAGCTTAATTCTTGTTTACAACATCGTAACGCTGCGTTATCTAGTGTTTGCTTTTTGCTATTTTGTCTATGAAATTTCTTGTCAAAATTAAGTGATGAGTGGTACTTGAAAATAGTGGCGTCGAGTAAGTTTGACACTTGATCTAAGCAAATTAAGTTGTAATTATTATTATTTGTTGTTATTATTATTACTATTTTATTATTATTATTATTATTATTATTATTATTATTATTGTTATTATTATTATTATTATTTCATTATTATTTTATTATTATTGCTATTTTTTCTCATTTTTGAATATTAAACTATTTCTATTTTTTCAATACATAAAATAGAATTTTAAATTATTATTATTATCATTATTTTTTCTTATTTCCGAATATTAAACTATTTCTATTTTTTCATAAATAAAATAGAATTTTTAATCATTATTATTATCATTATTTTTTCTCATTTTTGAATATCAAACAATTTCTATTTTTTCATAAACAAAATAGAATTTTTAATCATTATTATTATCATTATTTTTTCTCATTTTTGAATATCAAACAATTTCTATGTTTTCATAAACAAAATAGAATTTTTAATTATTATTATGATAATTTTTTTTCTCACTTTTGTATAATAAATTTTATTTCTATTTTTTTTATTCAAATACACTGAAAAAAAATTTATTTTATTCAAGTAGACATTTAATTTATTTGAATAAAAATTATTTGCTTCCAAGTAATCATTTATTTCATTTGAATAAAAATTACTTGATTCGAGAAAATATTTATTTCATTTGAATAAAAATTATTTGATTCGAGAATTGATTTATTTAATCTAAATAGAAATTAATTGATTCAATTAAACATTTACTTTATTTGAATAGAAGTTCCTTTGAATTCCTTTGAATAAAAATTCATTATTTTATTCCAGCAAATTTTTTATTTAATCTAAATAACAATTATTTGATTTAAGTAAATATTTTTTTGACAGTAGACAGGAAGTCGTTTATTTTGAATCAAATAATTTTTTTTAGTGTAAAATAGAATTTTTAATCATTATTTTTGCTATTATAATTATTTTTTTTTCTTATTTTCAAACATCAAACAATTTCTATTTTTTTATAAATAAAATAAAATTTTCAATTATTATTGTCATCATTTTTTGTTTCATTTTTATATAATAAACTTTATTTCTATATTTTTTATAAATACACTGCAAAAAAAAATTTATTTGAATCAAATAATTTTTCTTCAAATCAATTAAATTTGCTTCAAGTACTGAATTTATTGGTTCAAATACAGTTTGTTGGATTTATACATAAAAATTATTTGATTCGAGAAAATATTTATTTTATTTGAATAAAAATTATTTGCTTCAAGTAATCATTTATTTCATTTGAATAAAATTTACTTGATTTGAGAATATATTTATTTCATTTGAATAAAATTTATTTGATTCGAGGATTGATTTATTTAATAAAAATAAAAATTATTTGATTCAATTAAACATTTATTTCATTTGAATAAAAATTTGATTTCAGGAAATATTTATTTTATATGAATAAAAATTATTTGACTCAAGTAAATATTTTTTTGATAGTAGACAAGTAATCTGTTATTTGAATCAAATAATTTTTTTTGCAGTGCAGAATAGAATTTTTAATTATCATAATTTTTACTATTATTATTATTTTTATCATTATTTTTATTATTATTATTCTTATTCTTATTTTTATTCTTATTATTGTTATTCTTATTTTTATTGTTATTATTATTTTTATTGTTATTATTTTTATTTCAATTTTTTATTATAATTTTTTATTATATTTTTTATTATTACTATTGCTTTATTTTTTCTACTTATTAAATATACATTAACATACCATTATGTGTTCTTGATTTTCTATATATATTCTGATAACAGGCAATAATGTTTCTACATATAAGTTTTCTGTTTAAATATATCATTAGTGTAGGTAAATCGAATAAAAACAACTATAGACACTTAAGAATCACTGACCTTATTAAAGAAAAAGCAAATAATGACATAAATCCATATAGCAGTGTGTATGTACACCTATACATATATTACAAATTGTGGTGAATTGAAAATGCATTTTTGAGTTTTATAAAAATTAAGAATAATGAGTCTCATGGGAGGAATGCGCGCGAGCACTTATTTCCACTCGAGATAAACACATAAATTATGAATCAGACCATAATAATTGCTACAAGATTTTTAATTTTCTACCATATTTTTTTTTTATTCTTTTTATAAAAATGGATGAAAATAAAAGTGGATGAAAATTTTAAAAAATTAAGAAATTAGATTCTTTTCTTTATTTATATTATTCTAAAACTTAATTTCAGCTGAAAAAAATTTTTCTTTGTATTTTGAACGTTCAAATTAAAGAAAATATTTTTTTCGTACAGTGTAGTAATATTTTTTGGAAAATATTTCTTTTCAGTTAAATTCACACAATATTTATGCGATAAACGATTAAAAAACGAAATATTTTTCCCATACAAAAATAATGAATATTTTTTATTCACATATGTGAATGAAAAGAAAAAAATTCAAAAATATTTCGCAGTTATAATTTACAAAAGAGAAATATTTATTTCTCTTTTGTAAATTATAATTGCGAAATATTTTTGAATCAAACTTTTTTAAATTTTTGTTAGAAAAATTCTTTCCTTCTCTAAATATTGAATTTATTTTATAAATTTTTCTCCAGTAGAAGTTCGAAATTAATTAATAATTAAATTATGTAAATAAGTAAAAAAGTAAAATTATTTTTCAAATGAAAATAAATTAGCGAATTTAAAAAAAATTTTTTTTATTGACCAAAAATTTTTTATTGTTACTTTCTCTATAATGTATTTTAATACGTAAAATTTATGGAAATCGTATTAATCAATCTTTTATATGTCCGAATAGTATAGAAACCATTTATTTTCGAGATTTATTAGTTCTAAGAAAGAAGCGTGTCACGACATTTTTCAATTTCACATAATAGAGTAAAGCAACTTGTGTATTTTAATTACATGTTTAGTAATAATAAATGATATGCTACAAGTATTTCAGTTTTAACGAAATAGTAAATAATATAATTGTAATCTAATGTTCCTAAAGTTTCGAAGGAATATTTTTTTTCTATTTAAATATTTTCAAAAATCGATTCAAATTTCGCTCAAACTATTAAAACTTTAAATGCGTGGAAGAAAACGTCAAGTAATTAAAATTACAATATATTAACTATTTTGTACATTTTAATTTCTTTGATTTTGATCCACTATTTTTTAGCTTCTTTTTTTAAAAATAATTCACACTTTTTGAAATTCACAACATTTATAATCAAAAATTAAAAAAAAACATTATTTTATTTAAATTTTTGTCTGAAGAAACTTTTTGAATGAATATTTTTGCTCTAATTCTAATGCTCTCTAATTCTAAAAATAAAAATTTTCAAATAAAATATTGATTTTTGTCTAAAAAAATATTTTTTTTTAACTAACGAGTGCGAAGTCTGATGGTAAAAAAAATAATTATCAACTAAATAAATGTTGAACTTAAATTATCCAATAGCATCTTAGTAATTTTTTAAAAAAATATTCAAATAGAAAAAAATTGCATTCAGCTGAAAGTTTAAAATTTTATTCTCCCAGTCAATATGCATAAATTTTTTCAAAGTTCAAATGAAGGAAGATTTTTTTATTACTTTTCGTTCAATTTGAATTTTATCGCTAAATAATTTTTTCTAAAGGTTAAAAAAAAATATTTTTATTTTACTCTTTTAAACGTTGAAATGAAGGAATAATTTTTTTTTATGTAAATATTTTCAAAAATTTACTAAAATAAAATTAAAAATAAAATAATAAATTCAGTATTTTTAGAAAGGATATCGAGTTAATTTTTTTAATCAACAAAACAAATAAATATTTTCTAACAAAATTCAAAGTTTATGGAAATATTTTTAAAAAATTGTCGTTTATTTAAACTTTCGAATTTTTAGAGAAATTTATTTTTTAACTAAGTAAATATTTGTTTTTTACTTTTCATTTCAGTATAGTAATTTTTGAAAATATTTAAATGGGAAAAAATTGCCCTCAAAGCTTTTCTCTAAAGTTCAAAAATTTCTGATGATTCAGTATCATCTGTTTACTGTTTGCTTGTTGTTAAAACCACATTTTTTAAAATTATAAATTAGTTATTTAAAATTTATTCTGAATGAAA